CATGTGTCCAAATTAGATCAAATACCAGAAAATAACGTAGACTTATTAAATTGTGGTGTCTGGAAATCTTCACAATAGAAAAATAACTGATTTGATGAATTTATTTGCTAGATTTAATTTAATATTAAGACCGTAAAGATATTTCTTAGTACGGTATTCATTACAACCGTGAAACGGAGTGACTTTGCCTACTTTTGGCCTTAAAGCACGTTAACTGATCTAAAAACTAACCCCTAGTTGCTAACATACAAAGTGGGTACCTATACTGATTTAGTTAAATGAAGTCATAGTTACACCACATTTGTTTTGAGAATTTGTAACCTAAGGCAAAATGGGGTGACTTTGCCCTTTTCAAATAAAATACAGCACAACACATGTAACACTTATAAATATCAACCAATAAATCAATTTCTTTTAAACATTCACTAATGGATCATTCCAATTAATTTACTATCAAAATTTTGCATCAAAAACATTTCTTGATGTTTTCTTCGGGGGGCAACTATCAGAAAAAAAATGGATTCATGATCCGAGTTAATGTTTTCATCATACTCCGATGAAGAGGAATGTGTTGTAGCAGCAGTATGATGTGAAGCTGATGGCTGCAGCAACATTTCAGAAGTTTGTTGCCAGTTCTCTGCACAAATAGACTTTCCTGGTGCGACAGATAGTTTCTTGCGCATTTGCCTCTTAGCAGTTCCAGTGGGAATATTTGGCAAGGACTTAAATGCCTGCAGATAATCCAGCACTGCGTCTGAAACAGTTTTAGGGTCACCTATTGCCTCAGCAGGTGCAGGCAGTTTTTTCAGCACTTGATTCTGATCAAGTGGGTAAATGTCACAGGCTTTAAATCCAGAAATTAAATTTATGGCGGATCTCAGCCCCATGCCTTCAATTAATCTGTTGACCATTGCTGGGAATAATTTTCTATCCAGTGATGTGGATCATGAATGTTTTTGCTTGTAAGACTTTTTTAAGAGGAGCAAAAAATAAAACATCCTGTAGTTGACACTTGTCTGTTAATTTCGGTGGAAGCAAGACGAAGGCAATATTTAGTTCTTCATACTTCTCTATTACCGCAGCACTGAGATGGGAACTTAAATTGTCTCGACTATTATTGATATTAAATTATTTCGACTAGCAAATATTGAATTTTAAAATATATATATATATATATATATATATAAATATATACTTTGGATTATTTCGTTTCTGATCGTGTTGTCTCCACATTTTTACATTCAGTTATTTTTAAAGCTTTCATTTGTATGCTCTCTTTTCTGTCCTTTGATTTAGAGATGTTTATGAGCATTATTTGGCTAATTTTTTCTCTTCACACTTGATTTTTACTTAAAATTTTCTAATAAGGTGAAGAAAGTTTAAAATATAAACTACATCAAATACAAGAGATAGTCAGGGAAAAATATAAGACACATATTTGTGTTCCGGATGCATGTTTTGGAAGTGTGTCTTAATTTTAAATAGAAATCCTAGCTAAATCAACAAAGATATCTTTATTGAGATTGGACCCAAACCGTCAGTGTTTAATTATTACAGCATTATCTGCTTTGTTAGTGCCATAGGAAAAAGGGGATGTCAGACCTGTTTACCCCCCAAACTCTTAAAATCGTACAATATCATCACAAAATCGTTCAATATATTATTTTAATAGTAAAATAATAAACATACAGTATATATAGTGTATACACCTCATAATCGTACATTGTACGCCAAAATCGTAATAGTAAACAGGTCTGGGATGGGGAGGAACTCCTTCTTCAGATTATTTCATTGGGGGGGGGGGGGGTGGTGTGGTGGTTGTCTGTCTGTGTGTGTGCGATCGTGCGTGTGTGTATTTCACTGAAAGTCCCCCACTTTTTCTCTGTGACACGCCATTTAGTCGGCTGTATCATTGCTACTGTTTGTAAGGGTGACGTCAGTGGAACTCATGGAATGTTGTTAACTAACAAGACATGATTTCTATCACACAATCCAGATAAGTGAAGATACAGGTCGTAAGAAAGATTTGTTAACACCATAAATGAACTACACTGCATGTTCAAATTCATGATCAATATCAAAACAATAATTTCAACAAGCCCTGTGTGTATGAACAACAACTGCTAGCAACACATTTGATCTTTTCAACAATTTGCTACAGAGATTCTTAGACTGTTTGAAGGGCAGCATCCACTATCCCGACTGATTCCCCTCCATCCCCTCGACCGATAAACGGTGCTGGTGGATGCCGTCCATGACTTGACATGTAAATAGTTCTGGGGTGGGCGGGGTGAATATTTTTTGTAAAGCTGTTTTTTTAATGTAACTTTTTTTAATTTCATGTTTATTTTTGCCAACATTTTTATGTGAAGCGCGGTGAGCCCAGCCATAGACCGCAGAATTTAAGACACTGTAACAATAATAAGAGTAATTCAAAACATTTCCTGCACCCCCCCCCCCCCCTATCTTTATTTCAAAACATGTTTCAACTTTTCCCCACATGATAAAAAATGCAAATGCAATTAAACCTGCCATTTTCAGTCTTCCTGAACCCCTTTAATTTCCACCCCACCCCCCGGAGGGTGCAGGGACCCCTGGTTAAGAACCCCTAATTTAGTAAGTTAAGTAAACAATAAGTTAAAATTAACAAATCTACTTGATACACCCTGTAGTTATATTTCTTATCTATTAAAATATGTTGCGGGTTGCAGTACTTGTTAAGCACAAGTAATAAATTTAATGACTTTTTTGTATGATGTGCTTCAAAAAATGTCAGTATTCTCCAATAATTTAATCAAACATTCAGTGAAAATAGGAAAAGTCAAATTACTGAGCTTATATACTTTCAAAGAAATCTTATTCCTAATAAATCTGCATGGTGAATCATTTGTAAACCCCCAGTTAAATCCTCACAATATTTAAGAACATCAACTTCAGTCATGTTTGCAATGTTGCTTGTGTTATTTATTTAAGACAATGAGGGTGGAAAATGTTTTTTCTCCTTCTTATGTCAATATTTTTTCCTTCATTATTTAAAAGGATCCTGGGTTGAACAAAATAGTGCATCATTTCCATTATGTTTAATGTCTTGCTTTGTGTTCAGTTGGGTTTTTGGTAGAAAAGATCCCTGTTCTTTTACTAATTTTGATGCAATATTTAAATATTAAAATGTCAGTCTTTAAAAAAAAATATGTACATATAGATAAGCCTTTTACATGGGAATGTACAGACTAAATATTTGTAGTGGCCATCCAATTAAAGGGGTACGAATCGGGCTCAACAATTACGGCTAATCCACCTCCCTCCCCCAACCACCTAAAACATAAAACTTTTGCAAGGTAGATGCAGCTTTAAATATTTCAGTAACAAGACCATTTATTTATTTATTTATTTATTTAGGCATTTTTATATAGCGCTTATCATAAAGCTCTAAGCGCTTTACAATTATTAAAACATGTAAACTAATTAAATACAAATGAGACACTAGGATAGTAACTACTATTCTATAGAAACAATGAAAATGGCTATAAAAAGAGGACACTTTGACACTTCAGGATTAAACCGAAACAGAAAATTAGGTAGGGCAAGGAGGGTGCATCACAGGTCATAGGCGGA